GCCTACCCGTCTTGCCCGAGAACTGAATGCCCGTGAAGACGCCGTCGCTTTGCGCCTCCGTGAAGTCACGCACGGGAAGGCCCCTCGACCTGAGGGGCGTCGCCAGCTCCCGCGCCTTCGCGGTCGCCACCGACGCCGCCTGAGACGCGACGCAGAAAAAATTGTCGACGTAGCCTGCCGCCATCAGATCCGTCTTGGCGACCGACGGCTCAAGGGGCGCCCCGTCGACCAAGCACCGATCGGGCTCGATGCCGACGTCAGCCATGCCGCGAGCCAGGGCAGACTGGCAGTAGTGCGAAGCCCAGCTCCACCCCATGGGCGCGACGCGCGCGACGGGCTGCAAGATGGCGCGGCTGCCAGTGCACAGGCCGCCAACCTTCTTCAGCACGACGAAGCGGTTCGAGATCGGCGGCGGGCGGAAGTAATCGCCGATCCCGCTCGGAATTGCCAGGCGGTAGAAGGCGCACTGGATGTCGCCCTGGGACACGTAAAAGTCACCCGTCGATTTGAGGGGCGCCCAGGCCGACGGAGTCGGCAACGCCGTAGTCGGCGGAGACTTGAAATAGGTGTTCGCGCCCCTCGCGTCGAACACCAGGCGGAGCTTGCCCCCCGCCTTCTCGACAAAGAAAATCCCGACATAATAAGAAGAAGAGGAAGACACCGCGCTCCACTCGATCATGTGGTGGCGCAGCATCGTGTTGAATAAATCAACGTGCTTCCGAGGATTGCGCATCGCGGGTCGACGTGAGGCCGTTGAACACCCAGCGTCTCCTGTAGCTCGTGAGCCTCGGCATCGGATCTCAGCATACTCTGCCTCCAGCCCTCCAACTGGACGGCGTCGGCCTGCTGTGCGACGGGGGGCGCCTGAACGGGGGGGCCCGTGAGCGCGGGCCAGGCCACGAGGGCCTTGTCGTATGGTTTGACCCGCGAGCTGTTCTGGCAGCCTGGGGTCGCGGCGAGCACCTCTGCGAGGGATGCTTCACAAAACTGTCGTTGCTCACTGTAGCCAGCAGGCAACTCGAAACTGCGGTGCTGCTCCTGCAGCTCCTCGATGGCGACACGCTGGGCCAAGGAGCCGTTCGCCGCCTCTCCATCGCCAGGGGCCCCCTCAGCGCGACCATGTAGTCAATTGAAGGCGTCGGCGCCCTCGTTGCACCGCCGGCGCCAGGCCGCGCCTCGGGCAGCGCGCTGCCGGGGTCGCCGACCTGAGACCGCACGCAGCCTCGCGTCGACGTCCAGCAGAGGAAGCAGCAGGGCATCCCGCTGACGCTGGCGGGAGGCCCGTGGTAGACCCAAGCCAGGCGGAGGCCCGATGGGCCTGGGGCGAGACGAGCTGGGCAGCCCTGGGGCTGCCCCCCCCCAGCTCGCGTCTGCCGGGGGCGCCATGGCGCCCGCAAGGCGCGCTCCTCACGCGCCTTGCGTCGTTCTTTGGACACCGCCGCCTCGTTCTTCATCTGCTCTGCGATGAACTGCATCAGGGCGGGACAGATGCACAGGTTGCCCTTGGTCTCCCCGATGCCGAGGAAGTGGCCGACCTCGGTCGACAGGGCATCCTGGCCAGCCACCTCCGTCTTGCCCTGGCCCTTCACCGCCGCGGCGGCCTTGCGGGTCTTCTCGTCGTAGACCCTCTCCTCGATGAGCTGCAGCTGCCTCGCCAAGTACTCGAAGCTCGCCAGCTCCGTGATGACCACTTGGTCGTGCACCAGCGCTGTCTCGATGATGCGGCAGATCGTCTCGTGCTGCTTCGCCGCCTCGTCGTGCTCCGCCATGGCCATGACGGCCAGCCAGCGCGTGTGCCACGCCACGGCACTTCCTGCCATCCTGAGCATGACGCTGGGGACCCAGAGGGGCGTGCGCGGGCCGAGGACGGGCCAATCCTCGCGCTCGAACCCGGTCTGCTCCTTCAGCGCGTCGCCGAACGAGCGGTCGCGGCGGCCGCGCGTGCCCCGCGTGACCAGCATGATCCGCGGATCAGCGACAGGCCCCTCCAGCCCAGGTGGTGTGGCCGTGCCTCCGACGGCGGGCGCTGCACCACGCCCAGGCCTGAGGGCCATCGCCAGCGCGTCGCCCAGAGGGTCACGGGGACCACCCGCGGGCGGCTCCACGCCCAGGGCGGGAGGCGTGGCGGGCACCAGCGGCTCAGCAGCGGGAGGCGGGGCCACAGCCTGCGGGTCGCGGAGGGGCAGCAGCCCAGGCGCCATCCCGAGCACGTTGCCGTCGCCGAGGTGCAGGCTGAAGTCGTCGGCGGGTACCGCGCCAGCACCCCCAGCAGCGGCGAGGCGCATGGCGTCCCAGACTCCCCCCGCTGTGGGCAAGCGCCTGAAGCGGTAGACGCTGCCCGCCGCTACCCCGTCGACGGGCGCCCCCTGACCCACGAGCAGCTTGAGGCTGCGCACGTCACGAGAGGGAGCCTGATCTTCAGGATACACGTCGAAATCGGGGGTCATGATGCACGCGCCCAGGATCACCAGCCGCTCATGCCAAAACTCGCGCCCTGGGACATTGAGCCTGACCGCGTAGAAGCTGCCTGACACCAGCGCCATGGCTTCAGCGGCCGAGCAGAGCCCTGCGTCTAGCCGCACGAGCCTGCTCAGCCGCAGCCCTCTCGAAGTCGGGGCCCGCGTCGTCGAACGGCGTCGCCTGCGAGATCCCGACACTGACCGCAAGCGGTGCAGGCGAAGGCTCTCTCCTCCTCGAGCGGACCTCGCGGAGGACGAAGACACCTGTGACCGCGATCCCCGCCACGAAGCCGCGCGAGAAACCGAGGGCCCAGATCCAGCCAGAGCTCGCCCCGTCGACCGCCGTCGACAGGTGCCCCTCCCCCGACGGGCAGGAGCAGGTAAGGGGTGGGCACGTCAGAGTCGGGGTACAGGAGCAAGCGGGGCACGGGTCCGCAGCAGCAAGAACTATCACTGCCGTCTGGAGAGAGCGGATGAGATCGGGAACCGCATCTGCAAGGAAGGCTTGCATCCCCTGAAAGACTTGAGCGAGGTGAACGGCGGCGGATCACGCACGGAACCCACGCACGCCTCCTGCAGAGCTAAATGATGATGATGACGATGATGATGATGATGATGACAGGAGGGGAGAGGAGGAGGAGGAGGAGAGGAGGAGAGGATGAGGAGAGGAACGCGGGGCGACGTCTCTTCAAAACGAGGACCCAACAACACAGGATGGCTGGGACAAATAATCTTCATACAACTTAGTTTCGATGTTGAGCAGGTTGGCAGAAGAAATTGCAAACCAGGCGATTGCGAAGGTCCGAACAAATTTCCCCCGCAAATGAATGTTCAATGCATCGAATGGAAAGCCTCAGGGAATCGAAATCTGTCTAGAACTCTAGAAATAATCAGAACTTTTAAATCTGTCCTGATTTGTTCTGTTCTATATTAGGCGGCTCGGCTGCGGTTGCGGCTGCGCTTCGGCTGTGCCTGCGCGGCTGCGGTTGCGACTGCGCCTGCGCGGCTGCGCGGCCGCGGCTGCGCGGCTGCGAAAAGCTCACTCCGTCGTTCTGGCCCTCGAAGTGTCTGCGGCCCTGGACCGTGCGTGGCCCTGGGGCGTCTACGGCCCTCACCGTTCCGGGTCGTTCACGGCCCAGGGCCGTGTATCACCGAGGGCCACAGTTCGAGGGGCTGTGGCTACGGCACGCGGGGGCTGCTGGTTCTACGGCCCTGGGCCGTACCTGGACCAGGGCCGTGCTTCGGGGGCGTGCTGTGGCCCAGGGCCACAGTTCGATGGTGAACTGTGGCCCAGGGAGACTCCTGTGGGATCCGCTGGCTGCGCGAACCCATGGGAATCCCTTGGGAATGCTGTGGGAAACCATGGGAATCCTATGGGAAGCCATGGGAATCCTTTGGGGATCTATGGGAAGACTAACTGTGGGTATCCTGTGGGAATCCGTGGGAATCCCATGGGAATCGTATGGGAATCATATGGGAGTCAGATTGGAATGATATGGAAATCCAGTGGGAATCCTCTGGGAATCCTATGGGAATTCTATGGGAATCCTATGGACAACTCTGGCCGAGACTAAGCCAAACTTAGCGGGAATAGAGGGGATTAAGCGGAATCAAGCCGGATCAGGACGGTTCGGCCGCAAACATCCCAGCGCCAGCCAAGAGGCCCCCAAGAGGCCCCAGGAGGCCCTCAAGAGGCCCCCAGGAAGCCCCGAGAGGCCCCCAAGAGGCTCCCAAGAGGCCCCCAAGAGGCTCCCAAGAGGCCCCTAAACTGTCCCCCAGAGGCTCCCGAGAGCGCCTCGAAGAGACCCCAAGAAGCATGCATGAGGACTCTGACACGTCCGTCGTCGTCGCCGCCGCCGCCGCCGTTGTCGTCGCTCCCCTTCAGGGTCGGCGGCACCGGCCGTAAGGCCTTCGCAATATACCAACGCCAGTGCGGAGTTCCCCCCCCCCCAGGAACTGCAACCTGGGATGAAAAGCAATGTGACGGGGGGGACCGGCTCAGGGGGGGAAATATCGATCTGGAATCGGAGATACATCGCCGATAGATCGGCGATGCGCCCCCGATAGCGAATCCGCACGTTCCCGATTGGGGTGGGCCATCGGGCCCCTTCGACGATGTGTGGGCGTCTGGGGATCGATGCATCCCCCCTGAGTTGATGTTTCAAAGATGGGGTCCTGAGGGATGGGGATGTAAGGATAGGAAAGGATTCGAGGGTGGTTTTACATGGTTTGAAGCACCTCGTCCTTAGGACCCCATCCCTCAGGACCCCACCTTTGAACCACCGACTGAGGCTATCCCCCCAGCATCGCTTCCCCTGACTCGAGCCATTTTCGTGGCATAACTCAGGCCTCTGGCGGCCGCTCGGGACGTTTCGGCCACGCTTGGAACGCCCTCGACGAGGCGCAGCTGACGGAAACCACACCCTCAAAAATGTTGGAAAAGCATCAGAAAAGGTATGGCAACTACATTTTTCGTGTATCACTCGAGTGCTAAACTCCACAAGTTTTGCACCGAATGGGATCTGGGCCCCCGAGCCTGACCTTCTCCAGCTCGGCCTCGCGATCCTTCTCCTCAGTGTCCAGGCGCTCCAGGGCCGCGGTGAGGTTCTTGGCGCGGGATCGCAAGTCGGCCACGACGTGCTCCAGGGACGCTGGCACCTTCGAATGCGCCTTCCAGCGAGAGGCGAGGCTGCGCACTCTGCTGCGCCGGGCAGGGATGGGGGGGCAAAGGCCGAGACGGGCTCGAGATCCTGCGCCGCGCTGAGCAGAGGCTGCTGTATGTGTGCGTGTGTGCGTGTGTGTGTGTGTGTGGCCCGACGGACTCCCTTTCTTCTTTAGCCAGAGCGTGCGCGCCCGCGGGACTCAGGGACGCCCTGTGGCTTGGCGCGGGCTGCGACGCTCAAAAGTGTGTATTTCTATGTGTGTGCTTGTGTCGTGCGCAGCTTGTTTTTCACGCCGACCTGCCTAGCGCAGATAACCACCTGCAACGCCTGGTGGCATTGACATTCTTGAGCGTTGACATCGCTCGGCCGCTCGAAAGACAAATGCCTGTGATCGTGCGCGCGTGTGTGCATGTGTTGAGCGGGCCCGGCTTCCCGCTCCCTCCTGCTTCGCCGGGCGTTCCCTCTCACTCCCCCGTGCATTGCGGCTTCATTCGCATTCGTATACCTACTGATGCTCTTCCGCCAGCGCATTCATTCTGCCGGCCGCCGACGTAAAAAAAATGCGTGCGCGTGCGAGTGCGCGTGCGCGTGCGCGTGCGCGTGCGCGTGCGTGTGCGTGTGCGTGTGCGTGTGCGTGTGCGTGTGCGTGTGCCTGTGCGTGTGCCTGTGCCTGTGCCTGTGCCTGTGCGTGCGTGCGTGCGTGCGTGTGTGTGTGTGTGTGTGTGTGTGTGTGCATGTGTGTTTGCCTAACGGGCCTACTGCGGCCGCCTGCCCACGCCTCAGTGCCTCGCGCGCTGCCCACGAGCTGCCCTGCCCACTCCTCCTGGCCGCGTGCCGTTTGTCACCAGCTCCAATGCGCCACGCTTTCGGCCTCGGCCTGTCACTGTCCGCACTGCCCTGCCCTCAACATGGCCGTTCCCCCTCGTCGGCATCCCCTATCCCCTTCACGCGTCCTTCTTGCGATTGCCCCGTCACGAGTGTTGCAATCCGATCCCTTGTGGGTGGATTTGGCTTCTCCATGCTGGGTGAGCTTGCCAGGCCAGCGCGCCGCTCCTCGTTCGACCCCGCCCTACGCCGCACCGCCAAGCGCGTGGCCGCGACGCGCGCGCGCGTGCGCGTGCGTGTGCGTGTGCGTGTGTGTGTGTGTGTGTGTGTGTGTGTGTGTGTGTGTGTGTGTGTGTGCGTGCGCGCGTGCGTGTGCGTGTGCGTGTGCGTGTGCGTGCGCGCGTGCCTGAGTTTGAAGGGAGCTGGGGGGCCCAGCCAGCAGTTAGGCGAAGCCAAGCTCCAGCTCTGTCGCACCGCAGTAGCGATAGTCCCAGTAGGAGAGGATGTGCCATCTTAAGCAATAGGAGGATCCTTTGGTCTCGATAGCGATCGCGTGCCTCGCAGTGAGGCAGTCATATTTGAGCGGCCGGCCGCTTGAGCCGATGCGGCCGCGGGCGCACGCTCGCTTCCACTCCTTCCGTCCCTCAGCTCGCTTTAGAATCGGGGGGAAGGGGACGAAGCGTGAGCCCGTCGCCCCATATACGGCAGGCACATCAGCTAAGGTACACAAGGACAGAACAGGAAGCGGGCCAAAAGGAAGGTGGACCCGCTCGTTAGTTGCCTCACTTGTAGAATTCTGTACTTGACGCACTCATCAGGCGGCGTCAGAACGTGATGTTTGGCCGGCCCGATATGGAGTATGTCTCTTCAGGTCATGCTTGAAGGCCGTATATACCTCCCATGGCTTGTTAGAGCACTTCTCTGTCGATGCTCCCCTTGGTGTGACCATCCGCAGTCATATCGCGGGTGTCGCACCACTGGATGCTGTGCGCGATTCCACGCTCCATCACCTGTCTTATCCAACTGATGTGTCCTAAACGGGTACGCTCAGTCGGCGTCTTCAAGTCTTTGCTTGAAAAGGACTTAAAACCGACTCAGCATCTATGGCCACGGTGACCTTGATGCTCAGGCCACCCAACTCAAGTATCTCTTTCAACTGAGTGGGCGTGAGCGGCCCTGCGTGGAGCTCGTGCAGAGTCAGAATCGTGGGATAACAGTCCTCCAAATTATGGGCTGCTGCTAGTGTCTCTGCTCAATGGCTCGAGCGGACCTGCAAGCGATGAGACTTGCAGTGCGCATCGATCAAGTGAACGGCAGGCTTGCCAGATGACGTGTTTCCACGTCGTAGCAGGCTTGCCTCGCGAATACCATCGCCTCTGACGTCGTCATCGGCGTCTCCACTCAGGCGTCGGTATCCTGAGTCGCTATGCAGGTCGACATCGCCGGTGGGATTCATCGCCTGGTAGACGATCTTCTTTGGGCAGGCCTGTAGCTTCCTGGTTATCGCGCTCAGTAGTCGCACTTGGATGTCGGTCGGTTCTTGGACACGTTGTAGAGAAACAACATGCACCATCAACCACACCTGGTGTGATTAATGCATGCGCCAGCGCACCCCTGAGGCTGACGAACATGTCTGCAACCATCTTGGTTGCCTGAGCGTCAGCGTTGGCGCCGGTCAGTTTAGGATGTTGTATAGGACGGAGCTGTTTGATGTATTCATCTTGGTCCAAAGCGGCATTGCCGTCCTCATCTTTGGTGCATCTCACAAAACCATTGGTTTATGTGTGCTTGTTGAGTTTACACTTACGAAAAATATCTTTTACGCACTTGACATATTTGTCAATGGTGTCCTCTGTGCCGGCCATATCGGTGTCATCAACATGCTTGGCCGTGAGCAGATTGTTGCTCGTCTCGAACTCCTCGTCGTAGGACGTGGGTCGGATGCCGAAACCTCTGGTGGCCCTTCTGAGCTTTAGTGAGAAAGCCCGTGGTGTTTCTTTGGTGCCTGTGCTTGGATTCAAGCACTGTTGGCAGTGCTTTGAATCATCGTAGTGCTCGAATTCTGGGAGAGTTCGGAGCACTATGGCCGATCCAGGCGGCAGAGTAAAACACACCACGCGTTCTTTTTCACCAGTAGCCTCTGCAAATTCCTGATAGGTCAGTCCCTTCAGGAAAGCCATGTTGATGTCGAGGGAAGCAATGACCCGTTGCTTCTTGCACGCTGCCGTGCTAGCGAGTAGCCTCTGGCTTGACCGTCGCGCTGTTCCCGAAGATGCTTCTACGTCGAAGGCTTCAAGGAACATGAAACCTCGGGGAACCAAGCGTAGTCTGATGGTACGTTCCATCTCGCCCTTCTCGTTCTTCACGAACTTCCATTTGTGCACGTATTTCGAAGTCACGGTGCTCGGCGCTTGAGCTATATGTTGCATCTTGAAGCACTTGTTGTCGAGACATTCTTGAGCTCAGCGTAGAGGGCCTTCGATGCTTTATCGTGATTCGCCTGGATGTCAGCTTTCGCGAGGAGGTCGCCTTCCTTGGCGACCGCAGCTCGCTTTGCAGCGGCGGTTACGTATACTCGCAGGGTGGTCACCCGGTCGGCATCTAGTATCATATGTTGCTGTTCGGGCAGGACTACCTTTGACGTGTCTGCCGTCAAGCAGAGTTCGCCATATCGACCATGTTCATTTGAGTACAGTCTGTAGCTGTCGTCTTCGACCATGGTGCACATGGGGACGTAGTGCGTCTCCTCGGTGTCGGAGTCGCGAGTGCGCCCCCACTTCGGCAGGTGTCCCCGCTCTTCATCAGCTACAGGCTACAGTGATCAGCGCACTTTGATCTGGAACCATCTGTGTAGGCATGGCGAAGAGGTCCTCTGGTGGAGTTGCCTCCAGCAGTTCCCTTTCCTCTCGCAGTTCTGCATACCGCGCTTCCATAACATGCAACTCGAGATCAGCCTCTGATTTCGCGAATCGTAGAAAGCCACCCGTCATCATTTGGTGGTTCGGCTTCTGAGGCTTCTCTCGTGGTTCCCTCTGGCGGCTGGCGTCGGTGTATCTGCCAATTCCTCAAATCTTGACATGTCTGGATCAAAACCTGCTTGAGGTTTAGTGGACTTCAGGCATTGAATAATTCTCGAATGTGCTGATCCAGTTATGTCATGCATATTCAGAGCAGTACCTTCTGTTTCATAATGATGGAATCCTGGATTCACGTCGTTGTCGTAGTGGACCAACGTGCGGCTGTCAACATAAGTAACCGGAGGCAGCTTATGAATACTCTTGGCTAGCCTGACTGAAACTACATTCTCAATACGGAAGAAATTTCTGATAAGGTACTGTAACGCTGAGTGTACCTCAGGAGATAGACGGCTTGCACTCGCCATCTGAAGCGCCCCTCTCTTGGTCGGCACATAACCAAAGGTCAGAGCAGGTCTCCCCGCCGATAGGCTGGCTACGAATGTCAACACCGTGCGTAGTGCAGTGTTGCCGGAGCCAATCTCTCGGGCTATCAGTGCTTCAATATATAATGAAAGCCTTGCATCGCCGTGTTGTACTTGAACATCTCGATTGCCCACTCGGGTGATGACCTGTCCCCTTTTCGGGATCATTCTTTACAGCTGGGAACGAGCCATTCCAGCCTCCCCAGTCATCCTTCGTGGTCGTGGGGCGATGATAATCGACCAAATCTCCTTCCTCGTAATTGTGCTGACCAGTAATAATCGTTTTAGTGCGTAAGGCACGATTGCTCTTAGCTGCTGCTGTGGCCTGTGTGATAGCTTCAAGACATACCCTGCGCATAGTCTGCTCGCGAGAATGGCCCGACGTTTCCGTTGGCTGCTCGTGGTCCAGGACAGGTAGGTCAGGGAGCATTGCTGGTTGCCGTCCAAACAGAGCGCTATATGGTGACACCTCGTCATAGAAGGTAAACGCGTTGGAGGCGAACAGGGCCTCGTGCAGTCGTCGGGTGAACACAATAGGTATATCGAGTCTATTGAGTTCAGCTTCCATGACGTGAAGTAGATGGCGTAGGATGTCATTTCTGGCCTCGATCGTTGTAGCGTGCTGTCCACGCGCGCGTATCCTGAGTTCAGTGCCTTTTGCCTTGAGGACTGCATTCGCAGTGTCGTTGTTAAGGGCGCCCTCTCCGTCGGAGTAGAATACCTTTGCAGGTCCAAACTGCATC